TATTAATTAATTATGATATATGAAGTAGACCATTTTTATTTTTATTCATAATATATATAATGGTTATTTAAAATCATAAATAATAAATTTTTCTAAAATTTGCTTTAACAAATCAAAATATTATAATATATATAATAATCAATTTAAAATGTCCTTTTAGGTTATTTTGCATTTTTATCAGCTAGTTTTGTCAAACATAATTTATTCATCAACTGACTTATCAATCATCAGCTACTAGCTAGTTTATCAGCTGGTTTGTCAAACATAGGCTAAGTAACTTATCAATAAGCTAGCTTATGTGCATTCAAACGATTACTCAAAAAATGAGTTAACTCATAGCTAAATTATGTTTTTCAAACAATGTCTTATCAATCAACTAACTTATCAACTGGTTTACTAAACATAACTTACATCTTCGTCCTACGTTTCAAACCAACCTACAAAGTGTATTTGGATCAGGAACGAGTTAGTCCAAATTTCCATTTCGTTAATTTGATTTCAATCTAATTCAAAATTGATGAACGAACTTCGAAGTCTGGGTCGATCCATGGATTCATCATTAAATGTTGCATAGTTTCTCTGTTGTCATTAAAGATGAATAATCAGGTGAATATGTTGCTTTTAATACCATCTATTTTATCCATGTATTTCAATAGTCATTAAGATTTCGTTTACTTCTTGTTAACATTCAATTAACACGATTAATCATAGCATTATTGAACCTTTTTTTTCCCTTATTACGCTTGAAAATGATGGTTAATAGTTACGAGGTGGATTAGATACATCTTTATTTATTAATTTTAAGGTCAGATATATTAACATCAAGATTTATATTTTACATTTTTAATACATGATTTGATCTGATTTTAAAACTAATATTCTACATCATATTAATTTTTTATTTTAAAACTAATATTGCACGTCATATTATTTTTTTATTTTAAAACTAATATTACACGTCATATTTAAAATTGCAAAATAATTATAGAAAAATAACTAAAATTCGTTTTTTTTTCAAAAATTATTGTAATAAAATCTATTTTTCATCCCAAATTTTTTTTTAAATCAGCTATCAAATTGTGAGCAAAGAAGTCCATTTTTGAAAACATCTTCAAATTGATATCTGAATTTTAAAAAAAAAATAATATTTGGAATGAAAAATAGATTTTATCACAATAATTTTTGAAAAAAACGAATTTTAGTTATTTTTCTATAATTATTTTACAATTTTAAATATAACGTGTAATATTAGTTTTAAAATAAAAAATTAATACGACGTGGAATATCTTAGTTGGCAAAAGATCTCGATGATGTCAGCATTAACAAGTCAACTGGTCAACCAGACCCTTAAATAAACAAAAAGTTTGACAGAGACCCCTAAATAACAATTTTGAAAGTTGGTTCTCCAAAATAGAAATCAACTGAAAGTTGGTTTCATTTTGATGCAATTTTCCCTTAATAATTAATATTAATCTGAGTTATAATTGAAAAAAGTGTCAAAAAGCTTGTTATAAGCTACTCTAAGGCATTGATTGGCAAAAATATGTTAACTTATTTTTTGAATACATGTTTCGATGCAAGTAAGTTATCTAATAAGCTAAGGGGCTGTTTGTTTGGCTCTTAATGGTTACATTAAGAG